CTCCTTGTATCACCCCCTAGCAGATGTAACCCTTACAATCTTAAATGGAAAGGGGGGTCAAGCGGTACATCGTTTTAAAGGGCGTTCAATTCTCTTCAGAAGGTTTTCGAATAATCGCGTTTCAAAGTTGCAGAAACAATTAAACCCAGATTAGTGTTTACACAAAAACAATTGTATTGGCTCTCTAAAAACGGCTCTATGAAGAGCCGTTTTTTTGCAGAAAAATATCTTGTTTTTCGATATATTTTGCATAAATAATTTAATTTAAAACTTGTCTTTATGCGAAAGCCGCAGCGATCTTGTAAATTTTACTTTATTTGAGCATTATTATTGAGTAAACACTTGTTTGCAGGTCCTACAGGGCAAGTACATACATGGTTGCAAATTTTCTAGTTTCGTTTTTAGGAAATATCTTTTTGTTATTTGAGGAGATTGTCTTTCAATATTTAGTTAAACTTCCTCCACATCCCCAGACAAAACTTCCAGAGAAATGACGCCAATTTTGATCACCCTATATAATCAAGCAAGCAACCGGTAGACCATCAACGGGATCGAGAAAATATTCAAATCAATTATACATCAGAAGGGAAAATGTAATTTTCTAAATATAGAGCCCCTGAACTGTATTATAGAGCAGATTTTCATTTGCGTTTTGCGTCAAAGAAGGGAACGCAGCTTGCAAAACGTGCCTGTTGGTAAATGATGCTACTTTGCCAAGTCATTTGGGCGATAAGAAAATTACTAGTGTTGGTGGAATGTAGGGAATTATAGTTGTTTTTCGCTAAATTTGCTGAAATGTTGGGAATTTGCCGTGAAATCAGCATGAAAAAATGTGCTTTATTCGCTTGAATTATTTCAATTTATTTGAGCTAAAATTTTGCGATTCGTATGTTGATGATTTGGATTTATTAAGATTTTAATCTAGTTGATGGAATAGGACATCGACAAAATATTACCACCTACCTAACAATAAAGCGTAATAAAATTTTTATTTTAATTAGATACCTAGTTTAATACGCTATATTTTTTGCATGATGATCGACAATATTTTGGATTTGCCGTTACTTGAAAATTCCAAGCTGCTTATTAATTCAACTGCTCAACAAAATAAACGTTACACTGAAAAATTTCGACTAATAAGTGGATAAATTCCGATTGCTACGAGCGATTTAATTTCTGTTGAAGCGTTATTTGATGTTATGACACAGTAAAAATTCGATTATCTTTAATATTTTGGAGTTGAATCCAAAAAACCATTTTTTGTCCAACTAGGAGCATACCGAACTTTCCGGAATTTTCTGTTTTTTAATTTGCCACCCTGTAGAAAATTTATATAAGGTCCTTAATTTTTACCAAAACATTAACTTGCAAAAATCAAATGGAGTTCAGTAACGTTTTAAACAAAAAGCAAATCGGTCTAAGCAATCAGAATTTATCCAATTTCAGTTAGGGAAAGGTTTCCTTAAAACTGTTCATTTTGTTGAACAGTTTAGCTAAAAGTTCACAAATTGGGGAAGTTTTTTTAGAAGGTTTAGTATCTTTGTTTTGTAGAATTAACTGAAAATTGTGGAAGCAACTGAAAGTGTTGATGTGTATGCCTTTGTTCTCCAGTGGAAAATTTATTTGCTAATTTTTGGACTATACATTTGCTGTTCTAAGCTTTTTCTACAAGATGTTCACCCAGGTATCCAAGATAGTTCGTATATGTATATGTTCGTATGTATTCTATGACGAATTTTAAACAAAATATATTCCTCATTACTTTTCCTGGATTCCCAACGGTTATTGAAATACAGAGATTCCGCGATTGCTTTTCCACAAGTTGCTAACAGTTGTAACAGAAAAAAATCTCCGAACTACAGAACAAACATGATTATTTAATCATTTGATTGTTCGCCCCTTCGATGATTCATTGCGTGACTGGACGGTTCGATTGCAGTTTGTTTATTAAGTATTTTTGTAGAAAGTGCTTGTTCGCATGGAAATAGTTCCAGAGGTAAATTTGACCTTTCAACTTAATAATTTTTCCAAAAATTTTCTTTCTTCTTTAGGAATTAAAATATTGTTTCGACAAAGTGGTAAAATTAAAGGCGTCATTCAAAGCGGCGCGGTAAGAAGAGACGAGTCATAACTCATTAGCGCAACAGAGCGACAACGATTCAAAGCACAACTCAACACAGTGTTACCCATGCCTACACCCAAGGTAATATAGAATCGTCGATACTTCTGTACAATAAGAAACATTTAAACAGCATGACCCTGCAAAATAACGATCAAATGAATGACAGCTTTTGCTGCTGAAAATTGCAGATTTTGCTTAAAGCAATATCCGATGTACCGAATTGTATTAAATTAAATTGATTGTATTGCTTTAAATCAAAATGAAACAATCCAGTTGTTAGTAGTAAAAACAGCACCTTGTTCTAAAATGCAACTGATCGAAAAACAGATCAAACTAATGTAGGTACTTACCGCATCTGCAACTTTAAGGACATGGGTTCAGCATACGGTCGAGTCGTTGATTCCAATTTAATGTAGAGGAACCTGGAAGAATGTGATACCGTTAGTGTGGACTTAATTTTACTTCCAATTCAATCAAACAAGTTTCTGTAATGTGATGTTCTTTTTGTTAATTTTATTTGCCCAAACTAGCAGACTTAATACTATCTTCATATTAAAGGGGTTTGAAAGTGCGTCAAATTGTGCCCTAGATGATCTTATACAATCAGTACGCCCGAAAGTGCTACTAGAACTAGAAAAAGGCACCAAATAAAAATGATTGTGGCTATTGCAAAGAGCCCCTTAATGGGTAACCTAGAGTGCAATAAAACACTAAGTATCAACTTATTTGAGAACTCTCGCAAAAGATATTGAAAAAAAAATAATTAAAGTGTATTATTATTATTAAGGGCACAGCATAGTAATAATAATCTTTATACTGTGGTTAAGGGTTTAAAACACAGTTCAATTTTCTTATAATATTTTATCGATTACTTTTGCGAGTCTCGCCTTGGTCAGGGACGGATCCAGCTTTAAAGTCAGGGGGGGGTATGTAGAAAAACTACAGTCTTCTGTTGTTTATGAAATTATAAAAATGATCGTCGTTTTGTGGCGTAAGATTATTGAAAAATTTCATGTATTCCGTCCCGTTTTGCATGTTTTTCGGAAGCAAAATGAGCAAGAACGCTAATTTGTACATGATTCTAGAGAGAAATAAATGGCATTTTTAGAAAGTGAACTATCGATAAGAAAATATTGGCAGTTTCTAAAAATTCTTCAATTCAAGAAGTTTTAGATTTGCGTGGTTTTTTAGAAGTTTCTCAAGAACCATTTGAGCCACAGAATTCGTTTTGGCATCGTTGGATAGAGAATTGAATGGGGGGTTCATGACCCCCATGACCCCCCATGACCCCCGTCTAAATCCTCCCTGGCCTTGGTAGAAGATGGCTTGGCCATGGCTTCATACTTGTTTAAAAACTTATTATTATTAAGGCCGGTGGAAAACCGAATTTCCTCACGTGCTTCATTATGATAATGAATGCAAATTCCATATAAACATCGGAAAGTAATAAGTAAAATATACTTTAGTGAGGATTTAATTAGTATCTAAATGAGATAAATTTGAAAATGCAACTGTACCGTTTCGGTTGTGATTTTGTTCTTTTTCAAACAAGATGCCAAAAAAATCGTGTGAGTAAATTATGAATAATTAAACTGTTGTTTGAGTAAATTATATATTAAGTGCCATATATAAATGATGGAATTTCAATGTGTAAACCATTCGATTTGATTGTTTCGTTTTTTGGCAAATTGTCATATTTTTGGATTATTTAATTTAATCTATCACGTGCTTAACAAGATGGATTTGATATTAATCAAATATTAATTAATCCAGACTGCATGTTTTTGGACTAAATGCCCTTCTTCTTCTGAGCCTCAATTTGATCATTTTCTAGTCTATGGTCCCTTCGCGTTCTAAGTTAATAATTTGCTTACTTTCTAATTGATCCCTTTTATAGTTTACCTTTCCTAATGCTATTTTTAGGGAAAAATTCACTCGCAACACAGTTCACTTATTGAATTTTCCTACTTTTTGCAAAAAAAAAAATCAGGACATATACACGTCCGCGCTGTTTGTCACACCGATGTAATTGCGACGCAGTTTGAAAAAGTTTACAATCTGCCAAATTATGTACCAATTTATATTCTGTTTCTGATTGAGTTTTGGACACATTTTGTATCTATTTAGGGTAGTTTCCGTAATTTTTTTGGTGTTACTTTAATTGCCTGTTTTCTTTTAAATAATATCAAACAGTCATCTCTATCAAAACGATAAATTCGACAACTTTTTGCTAAATGTTATCAACTATCAATTTTTGCCGGTGCAGCATCAGCATAGTAGAGGGTTTAATCAAACTTCAAAGAGTCAACAAAGTTGAAAACTGCATTTAATGAATAAAGACATTTAAGAAAATTTGTTAGTAAAAATACCTAATAGTATTATTTGTTAGTAAAAATAATTTATTAGAAGTAAAGGAAATATATTAATTTGTAACTTTGAAATCAATTTTCTACTATTTTACCTATCTTTCTATAAATATTAAATAGAAATATAAAATATTATATAATAAAATATAAATATAAAATTTCTGGACTGTAAAACACCGTTGCCAACTCTCATCTAAATCTCTGCGAGGTCATAGCCACATACGTAGACTTGGACAGGTTATATTATTGTTTTTATCAGCCCTACAACAGCTAATCTCTGTAAAAATTAATTATTTGATCATCTTCTTGTAATTGGTTTTGATTAATTTTGTGATCCTGAACCTCAGCACAATAGCCGGATTGTAGAAGATCTAATAGCTGTGCTTTCAGAAACATGTCATCCTACTTAAGGGGGTCCACCAACTATGTTTGGGCGACAACTAGCATTTTAGGTAAAGGGGCCACTGCTACAGTCCATCAAGGAGTGAATAAAGTCAATGGGGAGCCCGTGGCAGTTAAAACCTTCAACCACATATCAACATTACGTCCTCCGGAGGTTCAACTGAGAGAATTTGAGGTCATGAGGTGTGTATTTTCTTCTTAGTTTTGTAATTTGTCGGCGATTAGTGAAAGTAATACTAGCAGTTGCTGAAAATAATATCAGGTGCAATATTCGTATGTTTCAGGCATTAATTGATTTCTTTAAATTGATGCATAAATAGCTGCTTCTGATCTACGGGATTCACCTACGATATTTGAAACTGTAGTGTTTTAATCCATGTGTCCTATTTACATTAAGCTTTCGTTATTTTACATTATTGGTCCACTATTCTGCAATAATATATTATATATTCCCAATAATAATTGTTTTCCACATGAAAGCAAATGGTAATTTGTCATTCCCTCAATAAATATTTATGCAATAATTAAAAGTGCATTAAATGTGATGCTAATTATCGATACTTTCGAGTGCTTAATTGGTTAGTAATAGTTCCTCTGAGATCAATTTGACTGTAGATAACATGCTTTAATTAATATATTATAAAGTAAGCGTAATTTATAACTAGTCAGACTGTCAGACGGGAATAACATCGAGCCATTTGGATTGCAAATTTCGAAATTAAACAGTCTCTACAACAGTAAATTTTTTTTATTCCAAAAATTATTTGTTCGCTACGGCAAGAAAAATCCACTTCAAAGTTATAAATTGATATAACTCTTAATTTCTACATATTTCGGTTGTCTATAAAATATATGTATATTTCTGAGGTCATAGCTTGCTTTGGATAAAACATTGCGTCAAAGTTAGGATTAAAAAACCGAAAGAAGTAAATTATTTTTGTTATTATCCTGATATTTGAACGGGAATTTCGCATCGAGGTTTTCATTTAGGCCAGAAATCAAAAACTGTTAACATTTTTTATGCATTTTATGTCAGGAGCTCATTGCATTCCTTACTTCTAGTGATTAAAATGGTATATTCTTGAGGTGCTATGAACGGTTTGAGCTTTTTTGAAACAAACTGTGGTATAGATTGCCTTTCAAATTTTTAGGGCCAAAAATCAACTTTCGATTTGGTATAGTTGGCGACCCTTTATTATAGCGCAGTTATAACACAATGTTTATGATCAAAGATTTGAATTTTTCAGATATTTAAAAATTAAAGTTCATTGAACTTCTACAAAAGAAACTATTCGTACAGCTAAATTACTCGAAAAGTCTTTGAAAAATCAATAAATCCTGAGCGTATTATAATAAGTAACTATATTTTTTTGTGTGTTTTTTCATCCGGATATAGTTGGCGACCCTTTATTATAGCGCAGTTATAACACAATGTTTATGATCAGATATCAGAATTTTTCGGATATTTAAAATATAAATTTCATTCCAATTCTACTAAAGAAACTATCCGTACAGCTGAATTCCTCGAAAACTCTTTGAAAACTCAATAAATCCTGGACGTATTATAATAAGTAACTCTAATATTTTTGTAATGTTAAAGTCTGTAAGAAACAGCAGAAAGTCTTCTGAATCTACGCAGAATTGAAATCAAAGAAAAATTTAAAAAATATTGTAAACAGCGAGTCTCAAAAAGAGCAATAACTTTAAACGGCATTTCTCAACACCAGTATAGCTACTAAAGCGGATATTGTGATGTTGATTACAAATTATACGAAAATTGTAATTTCTTACAAAGCGTAAATGAAAATTATACATAAAAAAACATGATCTTATACACTCTTTTAAATAAATTCATGTAGTTCCCAAAATAAAAGTACTAAGGCAACCACGTAGTACTTAAAACGGGATTTCAGAAAAGTGAACCATGAAAATATTGTCAAACTCCTTGCCATTGAAGAAGAGCAGGAAAACAAAGGCAAAGTCATTGTTATGGAACTATGTACTGGTGGTAGTTTGTTCAATATCCTCGACGACCCAGAGAACACTTACGGATTGGAAGAGAACGAATTCTTACTCGTATTAGCCCACTTATATGCCGGAATGAAACACCTTAGAGACAATAACTTAGTTCACAGGGACCTAAAACCAGGTAAAACCAAGCCCCGTTATTTGGCAGAGAACTTTCTTATTTACTGCTGCATTTGTGTAGGAAACATAATGAAATTCATTAAAAACGATCGCACCACTGTATACAAACTAACGGACTTTGGAGCTGCCAGAGAACTCAGGGATGGTCAGCAGTTTGTATCACTCTATGGAACCGAAGAGTACTTGCATCCGGATATGTACGAAAGAGCAGTGTTGAGAAAAAATGCAAATAAGACATTCGGAGCTACAATTGATCTTTGGTCCATTGGCGTTACCATGTATCATGTAGCAACTGGAAATTTGCCGTTCAGACCTTATGGAGGCAGGCGCAACAAAGAGACTATGCATCATATCACAACCAAAAAGGTACCCTTTGACAATATTTCATAGTATTAAGTCAGTTGAAAATGTTGAAAATATTCTAGGAAAGTGGCGTGATATCCGGTATTCAAACCAAAGAAAACGGAATTATTGAATGGAAAAGGGAACTCCCGGTTAATTGCCAATTGAGTGCGGGATTGAAAAAAATAATTACCCCCCTGCTAGCAGGTTTACTGGAGGCCGATCATGAAAAGATTTGGACATATGATAGGTTTTTCAAGGAAGTCGAGGCTGTTTTGCACAGAAATGCAGTGAACATTTTCCACGTTAACAAATCAATTCTGATAAAAGTCTACATTGACCACACTGAGACTTACAGTCAGCTCCAAGACTACATCTATGAGCAAACTGATATAATACCGGAAAATCAGATACTACTTTACAAAGTAGATTTATTAAGCAGTTTGATTGAAGACTATGTAAAAGCGAGCGGGTTTCCGCAAACAACAGAGGACGACCCTCTATTTTTATTCTGCAAGGAAAACAACAACGTCAACATCCCGCCTTTTCAAGAATTGCCGGCATTTAACGACTTTTCCACGGTAATCTCAGTGGAAAATGATGCCAGCCAAGCGAAATTTGCGTGCAGTATCGGTCATCAAGCTAAAAGGCAAATCGAGAAATATTCACTGCACAGCAAGTTAATATGTGACACCATAGAAAACTTCACCAAATACATCAACTCTAATCTAAAGGACCTGAACCAGGATGCTCAGCATTTATTAGACAAAACTGAAATCTTCAAGAAAAATGCTCAATTATTCCAAGTCTCCCAGTCAATCAGTAACTATAATTTGAAAATCAACAGTAGCTCCGATCTGGACGAGATTAGTGCAGATTTTACATCTGCTGTTGTTGTGGGCGTCTCTGGGTTGCACAAGCAACATACGTTGGAAAACAACCTTAAGCTGCAATGGGACACATTGAGCAGAGACTTGAAGTGTCCCTTTAAGACCTTAGCTCCCGCAAGGTATGTAGTTCTATACTTAAACTATGCCAATCAGCACACAATATTCTAGAATTATTTGAAAAATTTTGTACGTACAGCACTTAATCAAGTTTTTTGTTGTTGTTTCAGAGCCAAAACATTCGTTGAACATTTAAGAGACTCTTGGCAACATTTGGTGCGAGATAGAGCTACCAGAACGCTCTCATATAACGACGAACAGTTTCACATTTTGGAAAGAATTAAAATCACCCGTACAATAGGTAGCCTAAAGACACTTCTCGACACCGAAGTCTTGTCGCAATACGAGGCACTATCCGAGAATTTCGGAGATTGGTACAAGATGGCCCAAAACGTACATTTGAAGACTGAAATACTGGCTGCCGACGTAGACAAATACAATATAAGGCTCAAAGATTTCGAGGAAAAAATTACCATTGATATGACTGAGTATTCCGACTTTATTAAGAACAACTATAAGCCATCGAAGAAAAGTAGCGTCGCCAATGGGACACGAAATCTACAAAATCAGAAGTTGAGGAAATGTCTCAATGCGTACCGAAAAGAAAATAGTGATATCAAAGAAATAATTGCCACCAACTCGAAACTGTTGTCTGTGTTGATGGACTGTACTTTGGAGCTCAAAGACCAATTTGCCAGTGATTGAGCGGATGTCAGCTCGCGGTAATTTGACTATTAAAAGGAAAATACTAAGCGAACAATATGATTTTAAAAGCCGTTGAAATACCGACAATTTCAAATGGAATTACTGGACGATGCTTCGGAGTATTATTTTACAAAAGAGATTACTTTTCTTTTATTGTCATATTTCTATATGTTAATTTGTATATTCGGAAAGAATCGTGTGATTGTACAAATCGACTAAGGCATCTTTGCTTTCATAGACATTGTTTCATTGTTTATAGACATATTTTCTTAAATAATTCCTGAATGTAATCTAATTATTAGATATTTTGATATTTCCTTTGATAGTAAAATATGAAGCTGGAAGATGTTTTGTATAAAACATTGTGTGAAAATTAGGGACGTAAAATTAAGCAACTTATTGGAGGTGTTTAAACCATAATGTTTGTGTTGTTTAAGGTCCTCAAACCAAAATAACGTAAGCAAATTATCCGTTTGTTTTGGGAAAAACTTGAAACTGTTCTGTTTTCAATCAGGAAAAAGTTGAAAATTGCTTTCCAATTAATTATCAGAATCTGTTGAAATAACTGTACGTATTGTATTATGAAGAAAGGTTGTTTGGCCTCTATTTCAAATGCAAAAGAAAGTCGTCTTTAATTGTGAATTCCAATGGAAAATGGAACAACCATTGTTCATTATGAAATTTGTGTACACCCGTCCTTCTTTTTGCATTAGTTTAATTGTGATTTTATCTTTCTATAGTTTTTAATTGAGTATTATTAAGTTCCTGGCCCGACTAGAGAAAAATTGTATAATGTAGGTCAAAAATAATATATATTTATTTAAGAACTACTTGGCTTTTATTGCATTGATTTGCTTTATATATTGGTAACAACTCCTGCATAATTCAGAAATGTTTCTAATAATACAAATAAAAAAATATTTCAATATAAATCAGCTTTAAATAATTCAATTCCATTCAAACAAAAATATTCATGTCGGTTTTAACATGACCCAAACTACAAATGACCAAATTTAAATATTAAAATCTGGTTTCTCGTTTAACATTCTTGCATAATGTGATCAATTGAAATTCAGATTGCACATCTTACCACAAAGATAATTCGACCATGAAACAACATCACATTCTCCTGTAGTTGTTTTTCATATTTTCACTCGTAGATGTAAAACAATTAAATAAAGTCTTGCGTATACAATTTTTTTAGGCACTAACAGAAAGTATAGTATTGCATTTTTATTATACAAATATGGGGGAAAAAGCTAATTAGTGATCCTAGCTGGAACTTCAAAACAAATCGCATTCTTTCCTGTTTGAGGATCGGTGAGCGACCAATGAACAACGGTTTTCACCTGAAAAAAAATTGTATTAATTAGAAATAGTTTCTATACGAATACTGCACAGAACTGCGGCATAAAATTCATATTAATCAGCAGGTGCAAAGATATTGTATCTACTTATCCATGAGGTAAAATTATTTTCTACTCAGGCACAATGTATAATTACAAACCCATTACAGAAGATTGACCTGTGGCTATCTAAGTGCTGTAATTTAAGTGCGATTATCAACGCAACCGGAATGTATCTAAAGCGAAGAAAACCATTCGATGCTTGATGTTAAATATATGAAAACACTTTTTTATTATGTTTTTCGAGTTATGATTACCTACGTGTGATTTGTTTTACGCATTATATGCAAAAGCGCATATTTGCTTAATAAAATCTAAACTCAAAAGGCTTGTAACTATGAGATAAATGATATAAAAACGGTTGTCTATTTTCTGAGCTCAATTTCAGTTGTCCATTGGTGCAAAGGGCGCTCCTGCTTGAGACACTTCTAAACAGTTTTAAAAATTTCGGAACAAAGACAAATATATATTTGTCTTTAGTATATACTTGTTTATTGAGCGTATTTCGATTAAAAAATGTTGGCCATATGGATTGCTCTAAACAATTGAAGGGACTCTTCCTTCCTTTAAGAACATTTTCGTCTTGCAGAACTTTAAAGATACTTTAGATCTCGAAGTGACATCTTAAAAGAAGCGCTTGAAGACTACTGAACAATAATGATTCAATATTGAACTGAATTTCATTAACTAAGTTTCATCAGTAATCCTACATTTGAAAAATTCTCAAAGCGAGCATGAAAACAATTTATATCGCAAAAATAGTTCCATTAAAATACCTTAGGCTTAAATGCGACATTTGAAATTTAGTAATAATTTAAATTTAAATATCTCCAAAAATTTTGAAATTATCAGAATAACTTTTCGGAAACATTTCAATTTGAGATCTTTCATGAAACAAACATGTGTATTAGTTTTATTAAAATGTTGTAATCTTTGAAATGTTCGGATCAAAATAGGCAGTTCAAGAAGCGGTCGAAGTTTAGAGCTTTGTATTTCACCCATGATTGAAAATGTCTTATAAGATCATGACGATTATATTTGGTTTGATTTGATTGATCAATTGAAACCCCAAATTTTCAAAATTGACCGCTTTCACAAAAATTGTTACAAACCAATTCAAATAACACGAAATAAACTGAGCTGCACTGGTTAAGTGAAGGAAACTCCAGATCGCTTTGATTAATTATATACCTGAAAACAGTTCTTACCCTAGGATAAATTTGCAAAACATCGATGGTGTTTTTAAAAACGTAACTTTTGCCCTTTTGAAACTGGCAGTTATTTTTGGTTTTCTCGTCCTCTTCATAAATTTTATCACAGGCAGTCGTCCCATCCACTCCCACGAAAGGGAATGGAATACCCAGAAGATTGGCGTTAACCACTTGAGTCAAATTTTTGAAATTGAACTCTGAAACAAAAGGCTTCATTGAAAAACATTTAACATTGGCACTGCTAGTAAAGTTGTAAAATTAGGTACAAAACCTTCAACGGTCGAGTTGAGTATTTAATATATTATATAAAGTAGCAGTAAAAATTTATCTTTTTTACAAACCTGGCTGGAATTTAAACGTAAGTGGAACTTTCGTGTTTTTTCTTAATCTGCACGGCGGTTTGTTGCAGGCCCCGATTGAAACTTTGCTCTCTAAGTCGGCAATGTGCTCTGAAAAAAATTAAATCTAGTTGATCACATGAAATCTCGGATTGTAGATTATTCAACTTATACATGAACCGTGTTTAATCTGGCAACAACTAATTATAAAAATAACAAGTTTTATCTAACACATTTTGCCCTTAAATCAAGTAATTTTACAGTGTTTTACTTAGTTTTACTTCGAATTACATGTTTTTATTTGATGTTTTTCTAGCTTATTCAGGTCTTAAAGCCTTTTTTTCGCTGAGACAATCATTTCTACCAAACTTACACCTTGAAATCTAAAAACCGTTTTCAAATTTAATTAAATTTAGCTCGGAAAGGATCGAAATTTTTGAAAATTTTAATAAAAGCTCGTATGGTCGTATGGTTTCTCACCACAAATAAAAATCTCAGTAACAAATATTATCCAACTGCATTTATAATGTTTATATTTTAAAATATTTTTGAACTTGTTTACAAAAAATACAAAAATCTCACAACTAGTACAGATTGTGCAATAATAAATGGAAATTCTAATTAAAAATTGTGGTCCAATTATGCGCCACCTTGCCTTAAATTTTACGAGTCAATGCTAATTAATGCAGTTATACTGTTAACAACAAAGTATGGTGTTATTTCGTGGAAAAACTTTGCAAATAGTTCATTTAGTTGCACTGGCCGTAAACGTGTTTAATTTATGGTTGATAACTTTGTATGTTTGCTAATTAATTTAATTAGCATGCAAATATAAAAATTCATAAAGTACATTAGTTATTTATGTATAAAATAAGTGAAATGGAGGACTTTGCAAAGATGACAAAGCACAATCACATATCAGGCGATCACTTATATTGTATGCGGTATCCTTGACCTACCAACAGTTGGTAATGTTTTATTAATTGACAATATTTATAGCCGGAAAATTAATTTTATCCCGAGATCAGAATATAATTTTTTATGGGGTTTCTAGAATTAAACCAAAAAAAACGGTTTCTTTGATTTTGTGCTGAACCCAAAGTTAGAATTGAATGTGCATGTAATTAATAATTTATAACAAACGAACAATCACAAAGTCATCTTCCATTAACACTGTCAAGGGCAGGATTTTTGCGATCAATGGATCGCTTACGGTTTGCGGGTTCTTGAATAATAAATAATTAATTATCTTTCAATTCTTTGTTGCGGAATTAAGTGTTCTTAATTGGAAATCCCGGTACTGGTTACAAAAGCTTATATTTAAATGATTTATTTGAAACGTGAGTTTTCAATTAACAAGGTTTTAAAATTTCTTGAACTTTTTGCTTTATATTTTTTATCTGCAATTAATTAATAAGGATTTTCTACGCAAATCGATCCAAATGGTCATCGCTATTAATCATCATTAACGTGTACGTAAATAGTTTGCATTTACGTGAACTGAGCTCAATTACATTGTACCTTTTGAATAGGTACAAATTTCTTGGAAAAATATACCATATTTAACGTAGGCTGAAACATAAATAGTTAAATACAACGTTCGCAAAAAATAGTGACTGTTAATTGGGTCGAAAAGTGGTTTTTATGTAGGTAATTTAGGTGCTGTGGTCGACATTTTGCCTGTCCTTTGCAAAACTGTAATGGCAAAACTTAATAATTAAAAAACCTTGAAGCGACTATGGACGTTGTCGACTATGCTAATTACTAAGATGTTACAAATTATAATAAAATTAAAGTAAGCCTCGATTTTCATTGTTTGTTAATTATTAATAATGCGTATTTTCATATGGAAAAAGTTCACGTCTTTGCGTAATAATACCCGCATGATCTCCTTGGCATCATTAGGAAATTGATGATTATTTGAAAATACAAAAAAGTTCCTAATTATCAGTTATGTTTAAGCACTTAATTATGTTTTTTTTGTGTCTGGAAATTATAATTGCTAAGTAGTGTGTTTTTAATTTATGTGGGCGTATGACATAAAAATAACTTTGAAATTTGAATGTATGCTCATAGCAAAACCACCAGTACACCACGAGTTGTTTATATTTTATAGCTCAGCTTTCTCATGAGACATACTTAAGAAGCAGTTAATTAACATATATACAGGATGTCCAGTAAACCTGCGAAAATAATTAGGTGGATGAAAAATATCGAGTGTTGTGAGATTTGCGCGATTTTCAAAAGACGTGTAAATGTTCCGAAAAATCTCTCATTTTCGGTAGTGCTATTTTTCACAATTTTATACTTGTTGGGGGTGGTTTACGGAGCACCATGTGTGTCAATTAGCTAATTGAAACTACGAATTTTGCGAAATGAAACGCATATGGAATTTAATTAAGTTAATCAATTTCTGTCGCTATTATTAAGAAAAAATATTGATTTAAAACGTGCCAATTATGCACTTCATAACTTAATTAATTTAATAAAAGTTAAAATATTGAAACAAAGTTGTATGTGTTTATTTAATTAAGGCACAATGTTTTGGAAAATTGGACTCATTTCTATGCGCAAAAATTGTTTTTAATCAGTACACTTGCCACTCAACTAGTATTTATTATAATGTTCAATTAAAAACTAAATTAATTATATTTTTTAAATGCTGAAGCAATCAGCATATGAGTAACATAATATATTAATTAATTATTTTATTTGTCGGTTTAGTAATCATTTTAATGTTTGCTTACTTGCTAAGAATGATCCAATGTTTTAATTTTTACCACTTTAAATATTGTTTGTGCGTCACACAAAATAAGATCCGGTATATGTATAATCTAGCAAAAGTACTCGGCCTTAACCGACTCGTTTCAAGTCCTTTTACTTCACTTGAAGTTCATAAAACACTCTGATTTTCGTTCAAGATTTTTATCTTAGAGTTATTAACATAATTAATATTAATTGCAAAATTTGGACTTTACTTTACCTTGAATCTTCCGTTTTATTGCATCAATTACTTATTAGTTCTTGAGATAATTGCATATTTTTAACTATTTTTCTGGAGAGAACCCTACGTAGGTATTTGTGATCTTTTGATGACTTAATCTAACTTAATAACTTAACATACGTGAGAATAGAGGAAGAATAAAAACGTAAATTAGAGAATAGTAGTAAGACTAACTATTTGTTAGTCAATCTACTTTGCTTATAATAATGTGCTAAGACTATGAACGTCTTGCTAAAACTGGAATCATAAACACAATTTATTGCGGAAAACTAAAAAATAAATAATGTAAACACGGCGTTTTTGTACGCAATTAGTGCTATAAAAAATATTTAAAAAATAAAATATATATATAGTACAAAATTTAGACCGCCTTTATAAAAGATGAAAATTTTGTGTTATTTAATTTTTCAACATTTACAAAGTGATAAAAATAAGTTATACGTAAAAGTGTTTATAATGTATTTGAACATGATATTTGTCAATAGAATGCTCAATACGTTGTATTTCTATGCAAATTTGAATATTGTGAATGATAATTTTTTTCGTTCATCAGAATTGAAAAATACAACTTAAACCACATTTCCATATAGGACAACAGTAGAATCAATCAATGATTTGATCGTCCCTTTGCAGTTAGTTTTTTTAGCTAACTGTATTTGGTAAAATATTACTTAACTGAGTTTGTACTCAAATCAAAATTAATTAAATACCACTGAAAAAGTTGAAAATTCACTTAAATAACTGAAGTTGAAATACAACTAAGTGAAATTACCAAAGTGTTATAATGATAGATTTCAAATATTCTTCCTGGTACATTCAACGCATAATTCCTTGTAACGTTTTACATTTGTTAAAGGAAAATTGAAACGCAGTTACACATAAATTCGTGTAATCCATAATTGAAGACATTAATTACTATGTAAGCGTGCTATGAAAATGTGTAATATTTGAATGTGCATCAGTAAGATTTTTGGGTGAAACTGCCTGGCGAAATGCACGTTCAATGCAAAAAATGTCCATCAATTTCACATCACTTCCTATATTTTACGACTTCAGCATACGCTTACCCTTAATTTAAAAGAAAATGGACTAATTGATAAAAATCTATAGAAATAATAACCAAAACTTACCATTTGGGCACTGATTGACTTGAGTAGCGGAGCAAAGAGCCGCTAATCCGAAGACCACCAACAATAAGCACTTCATAATTTTGACTGGAAGAAAACAAACCAACACTTTCGAATTCAATAATCAAACTAGTTCCGTACTGGCCAACGGACCGTAGTCTACTTTTCCACGGTACCCGCTCTTCACCTGAAACCTGTACGTGTAACAGTTATGGGTACTTTCAACGTGTTTTATGAAGCGCTTCTGGTACCCACCGCTAATTTTCAAATGCACTTACGTATACRTCCGATAATTTGCCATGTTAATCAGTCGAATGATTTTATCCAATTTTGCTYTTTTATTGTAAAAGCWCAGCTAAATGAATTCGATTTGAACCGGGTTCTCACGACCTTCGCATTATTTGTATTAAGCTCATCATKGTTGSAAATAAAGTGCTAAAAATATGTTGATTAAGTTCTTTGAGTAGWTTTAAGTGAGGGGGTCCTTAACCTTAAGAGAACTTCAACTCYTCCCATTGTCTGCTAACTGATGAAGATCCCTCGACTTTCATTATTCAGCCGTTTCAATCGGTACTAAAGAAAATATTTTTGTCGTTAGTGTTTTGCTGTTAGTGTCGTWTAAAAATTTCAAAGGTRAGAAGCACCTTTTAGGATTCAATCAATGGAAATGGAATCAAATTAAGTAGTTTCATTCAAATGCAGTGGTAGTAAGAGCTTCCTTCAAACGAGGCAWTTTTTTKAAATAAACTAAGCCTTTAGGATCCAATTGCACTTTCTTCAAAAATAGTATAAATGCCYCATTGCGTAAAACATAATGAGATTTGWTTACGAATGCTCCACATCTTTATTTAATATCAAAAGTGATKAGCTTCCAAAAACGTAAGAAAYCTCAAAAAAATACCTCTTATTACCAAAAAGCCAAGGTAAAATAATCTACCTTTTCCCTCTACCRYTAAATWAGTWTTTMATCTGGACCATACGATCGTGTTCTATGCGCTACTTTGAACACCCGCGCTACACCCCGCTTTCCCCTTCCCTGGCAAAAATAGCGCCGGGAGTAAAGTGGCGATTTCGCTGCATTTAGTCCAGCGCCAACAGTGTTATTGAGTAACTGAAAAGTATCGGTAATTTGCCGGAATTTTGCGCAACTTTCTAGTTTACCACGGGGCGAGTAAAACTTAAACACCGTAATAAGATAGTGCTGCAGGTTTCAACCGTTTTCAGAGTGAATCAACCCTAAAAGTTACATAAACGCCATCTCAAGACGGCACTTTGATGGTTTTGTAAAAAAAATCCGCTTTGATATTATGGGAAATGGTGTTTGCACATGAATTTAATATAAAGTCATTGAGAGGTATTAATACGTAAAACACCTAGCTGGGCCATTTTTTGGCATGGACAAAAATTTATCAAACCCGTTCGAAAATACTCATTTACAGCAAAATAGTTTATTAAAAACGATCACAGTTAATATTTCGTAATACCTAAGACACAAAACTCCTCCTTCTAAATCGACATTCACAAAAATTCCATCAATTAGTTATAGCGGCTGGCACCTCAAAGCAAGTTACTATTTTTCGATTGGTCGAAGAAGCGTCTATGATTGACCAGTGGACAATAGTTTTTATCTAAAATCCAGAGAAAACATATTTCAAAAATAATCTGAATACGCCCATAATGAACGAAGAGTAACTTACCCTTGGATAAATCTGCAAAATTTCAATCGGGTTCTTATACACGTACGTTTTCCCTTTCTCAATGCGACAATTATTGACTTTTGTCGTTTCGTCTTCTTCGAAGATGTATTCACACGGGCTGCTACCATCTACTCCCACGAAAGGAAGAACCACCCCAGCTACATCAGCAGTTACCACCAATTTTAAGTCCTTGTATTCGTCTTCTAAAATAATCAAGCAAATTCAGGTTCTTCTAGACTTTTCCGTCATTTTTTTAATATTGATATTTCTTCAATGCTTGATTTTCGGTCTACCGGGTGTTAAACATTTGGGAAACAAAACAATTGCAGGTTGAAGATTTATATGATATTTGCAGTTGGAAGATAAACGGTTGTGTTTTCGTCAAACCATTTTTGAGGATTTTTTTGCATTAAATATTAATTAAGAAGTTCCTGTGAACTAAAAAAACCATTCCACCAAAATTCCACGATAATAAAAAAACCGATTTATAGAAAAACATGTTTTAAACTCTCCCTGTTCGCTAAACTTTATTCGATTGTTTCCAGCGGTTTGTACAATTTAATTAAAATATCCTCTTTTTGTTTTACAATATTTTAGAAAATATATCCAAAGTGAATTGAAATGCAGCGACGTGCATATAAAATTCACTGGATTTATGTATGAGAAAACTTGTTATTTATACAGTTGAATGTAAGTTGTGCAAACGTTAACTCAGGTCTATTTTCATTTAATTAGACGGGAAAAATATTTTGAAAATGTACCTGGAATTGTTTAAAATAAGCCAAAAAAATTGTATGAGAGCACTAGTGCTGCAAAAGTATGCTACCGGAAATTCGCTTTCTCCTATCATTGTTTTCTTCATCTTTAAATCAGTTTTTCTTTTTTTCTTCAAACAAATTATTTGTAGATCAATCGAGAAGACAGTTCTGCCAAGAGATGAGTTTTCTCAATGGGGTAACAGTTAACAGTTTCAACAGGTCAGCAAGTTCTCCAGATTTTCCCAACTAGATTTCTTTGGATTGTCATTTTAAAGACCAAAGTTGAAATATCGTACATGTAAAATGCGTATTAACTTGTTCAAAATGCGCGAAGAAATTTTGATGAAATTAATTAAAATATGTAAATAATGTAAAAATAAATAATTTGAACAAAATCGAAATTTAAACTGCAGTACGATCTGCATAAAATATTAATAATTATCTGCAAGTTGTCCGGAATGATTCGTTTGTATCAAATTACTTTACGTGTTTGTTAACTTTTCCAAAATACTAACTAACTAAAACACACCAATAATTTTTTTAAATGTAATACAACAGGACTTCTTTCGATTTTATAGGAGTGGATACGATTTTATACGTCTGGAATCGTTGTAATTAAAAAAATGAGATTAATAAAAACTGTATAGATTAAATTGATTGAAAAATCAATGTACCTAATTAAGTGGCATATAATGCAAACAAAAGGTCAAAGTAAAGGAATCCAGTACAAAATGTTTTATTGTCGCCCAAAAATACGACATCCACAGCCATTAATCAGTAAAATAATATTTTCTACTGTATTTTTACCACGTTTTATTGCGACATTCTCTAATCAAACAAACATATGTGTTGCATTGAACTAAACAATATATAGTTGTTTAATGGTTGACTATTTTGTTGTGTTACACATATTATTATTTACCATTTTACTATTTAAATTTTTCTCTGTTTCTAGTTTTGATAAATTATTGTTTAAAGGCTGAAAACTCTGGGCATATTTTGTAGAAAAGGAGGAGTTTAAATCCACTTCCAAGCCCTCTAAGGCCGCGAATTCAACATACACTAGCATGTGGATATTATTAAATGTATTCTATTTTGTAAGAGTTTTAAGATATTAATAGATCACGTTTAGATCAATAAAACTAATGTTGAAGCTTATATTAAAATTACTTACCTGCTACAAACTTTACTGTGAGCGGCACGTGGGAGTTTTTCTTAAGCTTACAAGGAGGACTATCACATTCTCCAATTTGGACATTGTTCTGTAGATTTGCAATGTTACCTAAGAAATTCGGAGTAATTTATTGAAGACACATAGCGGCAATTAAAACAGTTTTTATTAGATATTCAGGAACGACAATATGAAAATACCATATGGAAATAGAAGTGTACTTACCGCCAGGGCATTGTAGAACTTTAGTGGCGTAGCACACGGTAGTTAAAGTAACGAAAACGAAAAACGTGATTTGCATCTTAGAAAATTTCGAAAAAGCAATTTCTAGTCAAGCCAATAAGTGTTTCGGCCTAAACTCAAACTACTTTTTGCCCGAGTGAACAACTAACTACTGCTGAATCCGATCGTTTTTATATATCTATCCCTAATTGATGAATACGGATAAGGATTGTATGAAATTAGCTTAATTAGTATGCGCTGATGGTGCACAATACCATTTGCATTCGCATGGTAGATGATGTTTTACTTCCACTTCCTATTAGTTCAGTTCCACCTGAAAATCTACCCTTGAAAAGTTTTTATTTGTATTCAGATAATCGCTTTGTTTTCATGTTAATGTAATGTGATCCTTATAGCTCATAATCTCGACTTAGAAAAATTCTTACTCGTCAAGGTGTATCCGTGTATACTCAGTTCATTTATGTGAATTAAATTTGGTTTATCACATTCAACCGGCAAACTTGCCAATTTAACTTCACGCATAAACGCAGCATTTGAAACTTCTTTAGTGGAATCATTTCACCAAAAAATTCCTCAAGATTTTTGAAAAATCATACTGACAAACTTGACAATATTTTAGTGTCAATCCAAATCCAACGTTTGCATTCATTCGCGCAATGATTTTTATTTACACATAAATTTGGAGTGTTTTCCAAATTAAAATGTCGCTACAAAATCAAGGGCTGCCCTCAGTGCCAAAACCGAAACGCTCCAAACATCTGAAAGATTCCTCCATCGATTTCTGCAGAATTGGAGGCCTGAACAACCACCTGAAAATGCTAAGGGAAATTATCATTTTTCCTTTGCTTCATGGAAACGTGTTTTCCCACTTCAACATTAAAGCGCCTCGAGGAGTTTTATTTTATGGTCCTCCAGGTAAGGGAATTGTTTCTAAAGGCTATGATTGGACGAAAATTGCATGCAAAAATATTTCGCTTCCCAGAAGAGATTGTCTTTTATTGTGCTTCGATGTAATTAAGATAAGGTGACTTGGCTTCTTGGGCAAAACAATGAATAACCGCTTAATCTGGGCCATGAAAAGTTGATTTTAATTTTCAAGAGCAATAAAGGAGCTCAAGGAAAGCAAACTATTTTTGTCGCAGAATTTAATCTGAAAACTGTTTGTTTTTAGTTTGGTTCGTGAGTTTTTTTTTTTAGTACTTTGTTACTGGGTAGTTTCGGCAGAAATTCGAACGCATTTTTTACTAAAATGTATGAGAGTCAAATTAAGTTTAAATAATTGAAATTTAGTTAGAAGATTCCAGGCGAGAAAGCTATTAAAACTAAAAAACTACAGCTTCTAATCACTGTAATTCTTTGAAAGTTTCGCTTTCTTCACGAGCTTATTAAATAAGGATAGGCAATGCATACTGATTATTTCTTGGATAAGTTTTGGATCAACATGGAACTGTAACATTTTAGCTCATTTCTCTCAAAAACTATGAAGACTAGATGAATTTACGAACAGCACGAAATTACCAGGACGATGTTGCTGTCTAGCACAATCAAAAAATTAACTGATTCCATCTACCAAAAAAAAATTATGCTGGTTTTTATACCGAGATACTGAGAACTTGCCACTTTTTCATAGCTTATGGATGGGAAGCTTTATGAGAATTGATTAAAAGCCATCTTAATACACTTTCCATTTTGTAAAATGCTTAATTTGTTGAAGAAATTTATCCATCAGTAGCAGTCATTTTTTTTAAATAAAAATTAGGTCAGACCTTATTCTTTTGAGCCAACAAAGGTGGCAGGACTTATTATGTATAATGCGAGTTTGAAACCCACATTGATTTTTATTTAAGTGCTGAAATTTTAATCTGCTACTATGTTTTAATTGTTAATCACATTAAACAGTCGTTTTAAGACTTCAGCTGATGCATGATTGCAATTGCAAGTAAACAATAAGTAAAACATATAAGACAAACATACATCGCCTGTATAATCCAACCAGAATAATATGGTTTTAAATATTTGTCTCCTTAATACAATCTTCGAAGAACACCAGCTGAGTACATCTTTGTGAAATTTGAAAACGAGGTGTATATTTCCAGTAATTACTATTGAACCTTTGACTCTGTAGCAGAGCTATTTATACATGCCGGAATTATAGTTGATTGCGTGTTGCTTGTGTAGTAGATTCGAACTACGATTCCGGCAAAATGTGAGAAATATCAGTGTAAATGAATGATTCTCTTTTGTCTGCACAATCGCAAGTTCTTGCAAAAAAATTGTTATTTTTTAGTGCCTTGGATCGTTCGTTATTGCAGCACTAAATTAATCTTTATTCCAATTCATGAGTTCAAAATTAAATCCAAATAAATTTAAAAGTGCGTTTCGAATTGTCATTTTATTTTACTAAAAAGTCTTTAAATATATTTTGCTTACTTTTATTGTTTTGGCAAAGCATTAAAGCCATAGAAAGATGCAGGAAATATGTATCATATTTGGTGGGTTTTCATATTTTCCAGACCAAACTACAAACAAAAAGTTCTGATGAACTGTTTTGCCAAATCTTCTATGAAAAAATGTGCAAAATAAAACAATCCTGTATTCTTGGCGCTATTTTACGCATAAAATAACCCATAGTAATATTTTAAACCAAAATGCAAAGTGTGTTAGAACTTTGTAAATTGTAATCAATTTTAAGCTTCAATCAACTCTAAAATGCAAATCCGCGATATTTTTAAAAGCGTAATTTCCATATTTCATCTACCTTATTAATGTTAATTATTTGCAAATTGTTTTCACATTTACACTCACAGAAAAACAACATAAAGTTGTGTTTATGACCATGTACATATAATTTTCTTTCGGATTAAAGCGTACTATTTTGGAAGTTTTGAAAATAAATTATATGAAAGATAGTGAGAGTGATACTATCATTTCAAAAGACTTGCAAAGGAAAATTGGTCGTTTTTTGCAAAACGTTCCTTTTAAGAAATCAGGACTAGTGTTACCTATCTGACATTGAAAAAATTAATTTAATCAAAATCGACGTACTTGTGAAAATTTAAAACTCATATTATGTGGTTTAAATTGTAACGTTCAGTGCTTTTTTCCTTAATTTAACAACTCAGGTACTCAATTAACTCTCAGGTTGAGTGGAAAAATGAGCAAAAAATTGGGCAGTGAAAGCATTTGGTTTTTTGTGTTGGAGAGAAAGTACACCAAAAAATTACCCTTCGGACCACTTAAATTGGCGGAAGCCAGCTGAAAACTTGCAGATTAATTAGAAAACCTGCATTTCCAGCAAATGCATCCAGCATTATTTATTCGTTTTGCGATCAATTTATTTATTCGGCTCAAAGACGTTGCTAATGACTAAAATAAACTCTAAAGGCAATGATTTGACGATTTCTTAAAAACGAAAAGTCCAGTAAGTACTTGATTTCAAAGAAGTCTACTTGTTTATGCTGTTGGAATTAAATTGATTGGAAACTGCACACTGGAAAGATTAAATTTGTGGGGACTCAATTGGAAAATTTAACATTATAGTTTGGTTAGGAGCATTATTAAGTTTCCATTCATTGCAGTGAAACTTTATTATAAAATATAATAAAATACTAAAAGCATGACTAAATATCGAAAATTCAAAGGTCAAACATATACATACAGTTTGCTGTTCAGATAAAATATACTAACGCTTTAAATAAACCCAGACCTTTCCACCAATTTGCTGTTCATGCACGGTTATTAAAGAAACCATAAATAAAAGGTCATAATTAAATGAAATTAGGTTCTCTTATAAAGTCTGAAATGACTAGACGAGAAAAGGCTTAACCTTTTTCGAAAAGATTAGTCCAAAATCTATCAATATTTCAGAATATAGGAAACTTTTGAACTATTTGCCTTTGAGCCGATGTTTGTGTTTTAAATGATCTTTCTTAAATTGAAAAAAAATGAGAAAAGTCTGCAAAAAAAGTTTCTTCGGCTTCGACTTCTTTATAATTAATTAATTTACGTCAATTGGAAATTTATTGTAAATTATTTCTCCTAAACAAAAATTTCACCTGTTACGATTTGACAAACTAAATGTGCCTCGTAAAGTTCATAAACCAACAAACTCGACAGCTTTAAACAAAAGCTCAACTCACACAATTCAAATTTAACTAACTACTAAAAAGTACAACATAAAAAAATAAAACACTTTTTTGTAGTGTCAACCTTTAAAGGCCAAGAACAATTTAAAACTTTTTGACTTGCTTAACTGCGTCAGTGAACTTTTAAGTGCTCCATTTTAAAATCTCTATAAAAAACAAATTTTATAGTAAAACAATTATTTTTTTACAGAGACATTGTGGTCTTGATTAATCGCATGAAGTTTTATGGGTCTACGCATAAATGTTTTGACCGAACCCTTCATGTTAAAAACATATAAATTTTTTAAAAACTCAATTGAAGACTTAAAATATCGTTGCTCGCTTTTGCACCTTAACGATTCAAACTATCTGATTCCAGGAACAGGAAAAACGTTAGTTGCAGCAGCACTAGCAACCGAAATTACCAAAGAGGGTATCGGAAAAGTTGCATTTTTTCCGAGGAAAGGTGCAGATGTGTTGGACAAATGGGTTGGAGGTTCTGAAAAAAACCTGCGTGATCTTTTCGAAAAGGTATCATAAAGGAAAGTTTCCACAAACAATTCTCCTATATTCTGCCCGCTTCATGAACAGGCAACAAAATGCAAGCCGGCCATAATATTTTTCGATGAATTGGATGGCCTGGCTCCAGTGAGAGACAAGCAAACAGATCAAGTTCACTCCAGCGTCGTAGCCACTTTGCTAGCTCTGATGGACGGTCTGGACAACAAACCTGGACTTATAGTTATTGGGGCTACCAATCGCATAGACGCGGTAGATCCAGCGCTCAGACGCCCGGGAAGGTTTGATAAGGAGCTGTATTTTCCTCTGCCAGGAGTGGAAGCAAGACGACAGATTCTAGAGGTATTCAAACAGTGACCGTCCAGGAAATAACATTCAAAACTAGGCTTTATACATTTACTAGGTCCATACGAAAACTTGGAAACACCGACCAAGTTCGCGACTTTTGACCGCTTTGGTTGAAGCTACTTCTGGATTCAGTGGCGCTGATCTGCAAGCTTTATGTTCCGAAGCCATAGTCAGGTGCATGAAACGGGCGTATCCTTGCTTGCAGGGAGTGAAAATTGATCCAGATAAATTGAAGGTATTTTCAAACGCCTACAAGTACCAAAGAAGCGATCCGTTGGGATGGGGATTTAGGTAGACGAGTGCGACTTTCGAAACGCCAGATTGTGCATGGTGCCTTCAACGCAAAAAAATGGCCTAAAAATGCGAAAACTGACGTCGATAATTGAACCGTTGCTTGAGGGACAATTGAGGAAAGTGATGCGATCGATTCAGACCTTTTGGCCCCATTTTCTACAAGAGAACTATAAGTATAGTAAAAGTTCATACTTTGCAATTTTTTATTGTAAAGTAGTCGATGGTTTGAATGTTTATTATAAAGTGGAAGTCTCAGAAGCGAAGAATTGCAGTTACAAGTCACCAACTTATAAAACGTTGAGAGCTTCCATAAAATAATGTGCAAAGGGTGTCCCGTGAATAATGGAGAAAAATTTGCAGTAAAAGTAACTTCTTATTGAGTTCATTAAATTTTTACTAAAATTTGAGATTCAGGGGTTTTCGAGGGTGATAAATTTGATTAAGAACTCTCTTCTTAAAGCTTCTAGCTTAAATCTAAAGTGACCAAGTCCAAAATTCAGCATTTGTGTTTGGTTGACCAAATAATTTAGCAAAATTATATGTTTGTCTTCGAACACTGGCGAAGGCCCCCAAGGCCACACAAACAGGTGTACTAAAATATTTTTTTAATGACAGAGTTTCCAAAAGGATCCTCATATAATTTTCGGCTCGATTTATAAGTGAATCTAACAGCAATTTATATTTTAGACTTGGTCAGTTTTGGCAAGTTTTGGCTTTAAACTCACGATATTCAGCAAATGATGCGCTTTAATCGCTTAAACTATTTTTTGATACTGCCAATTGAAAGCTTACACCCGAATATCTGTTTTCCACTATTTTCCGTCTCAAATCAATGCTTTTTGAGATATTTACAATCAAAGTATTCGGTGCAATGTCTTTATGAAAAAACTGCTTATTTATGGATGAAATAATAGAAGATGAAAGCAACTTGATGAACAATAACACTCTCAAAAACACAGCAATAAATGAACTGAGCAACTGTAATAAAAAAAAACTGATCAGCTCTTGACGAAAATTCTTCAAATTGACGGCCGGCAGCTTTAATACATTTAATCACATATTCATTATACAATTTTTTAATTTTGAAAAATACATGGTTTATTCAAAATATATCGACAACATTTTCAGATTTTATTAATAACTCGTCTCGTGCATCTTAACTAAATGTTTCAAGTATCCTCTGGCACAAAAATCTAGAGACTTAAAATACGTGCTTCAGGCTGACCATGGTGATGGTTTCCGCACAATCTAAAAATTGGGAAAATTTACATTTAAGTAATTGCCCACTTGCAGTTAAAGTTAGTTTTGTTTCAAAAGTTTGAATGAATACAAGTATTTTGTACTCTTCAATATAATGTTAGAGTCTTTGAAGACATAAATTCTTCAAATTCAATTCTTCTTTGAAATATATGCACTCAATATCAAACTAGTTTCATTCAATAACGACTTAAATTATACAAAAAATTACTGTTAACTCTAAAGACATCCTCATTTTCGAATTGTCTAGACAAAATTTAAACTCCAATATTTTAATTAGTTAATATCTCGAAATTTAGAGCTACTGCTGGTGCAAAAGAGAAAAAAGCAATTTTTTTAGTAAAACCGTTATGTCGCTTTGGCAATTACGTGGCTTTTCAATTATTACAAATGCATATTTTGGAAAATTTCAGAATCAAGTGAATAGATGTCAACACAATTAATTTTGATTAAAATACATATCAAGTGAACGATCGAAAGAACGAAGAGAACATTTTTAAATCGTGCTAAGGACTATTTTAAAATTGTTTGTCAATTACCTAACTTTATTCAGTATTTATAATATTTGCATTCAAAGCAACTAAAATTCAAATAAAAAACAATTTCGGCCATCTTTTGGACATGATTAAGTTCAAACCTCGCCGTACAAATAATGTTAACAAAATATCTACACACTTTGTATCTGTTGTTTGTATTTGTTATTTATGCTCCAAATTGATGTTTTCTGAGAAACTGAAAAGCTGCAAAATGATTCCAAGCATAAACCGACTTGTATTAAGGACTATAATGAAATGATCAAATGTCCAGAAACTTTCTGGGAACTTCGGAATACAAATTCCTCTTCTGCATTAGTTGCTTCCATTCCAATCCATTTCAACTCCAAACAGTTTCAAGATTTCTATCAAACTACATCTGATTTAACATTCATTTGGATTTCAGATATATCACTGGAGAAGAACGATATGCTGGCCGAGTGTTGCTTATCGGCAACAGCATGCAAGGTGTGGATAATCACATAATTCCCGCCCTGTTGCAACAACTAGAATATCTTCCTTCGTTCATCTTTGATGTAACATATGTCTCAAAGGTACAGGTACTTTGATTCGTCTTGGTTTAGCTACTTCCAACTGGCTGTACTTTTAGAAAACTAATATGATCAACGCTCAAGTCCACCATCCTTCCGTGATACTCCTATCCAGAGTTGACGATTGGTGGAGCATTATCGACGAATGCGACCAGTTGAGCATAGTCTCCGCATTGGAGGACATTCATGCTGGTCTTCCTATACTGGTTGTAGCGACCTGTCGAAAAGACGTCCCCTTTATGGCAAGACGACAATTTACTATTAGCTGTGGTCTAATGGCCATCGTTAGTTAAAGACAGTGAGTGAATATTTTTCCTTGCAGCTGCAAAATTTCTTCTACAACAATAGCAGCATTCTTCTGAAAATCGAGGATCCAACAGATGATGAACGAATGGCTTTCTTAAAACCGCTGTTTTTTGACCGTAATATCGTCAGTTTGGTCACAGTGCTAGAAAACTCTAGAACAGCAATCAAGGAAACTAAAAGTAAGAAATAGAGGGTTTTCGTTGCTTGTCTGCAATTTTTATTTTGCAACTTGTTATTTTTTGTTAACTGACCATACGTCGAGTTATAACGACTCTTGAGTACTAGTAATCTGCAGTTTAAGGAAATTATGCAATTCCATTTTTTTTATTTTTTAAGGCTGATACAGGATTGTTGAAATGTCTAACAATTTAATATGAAAGTAGCGCTTTTCTCAAGCAATCAAGTCTGAAGTTACTCAAATATACCGGATGGTCAAGGCTAAACATCATAAATTTTAATGGGTAAAAGAACACCAGACGTTCATTTAAAACTTTATTAGCTGATGTTTTCTAACAGAGATACAGTGTCAAATTTTGAAAAAAAATCGTTTTTTATGAAAATTTTCAAACCATTCATTTGATTTGCATTAAATTTTGTGACATATGATTGAATAGTTTTTTTTCGTACAACATTAGTGGCACGTTAAATGAGGGTGTTCCCCGCTGTTTTGCTCTTAGCTGTAAAGCCACTAAATATTTAAAAATAATCAAAATAATTTCAAATGTTCCGGTCAATTTTAAGAAAAAACTGCTCTTGTGCAATTTTGATTTAGGCCTTCATTTCAGAGATTCTATAATGAAAATTAATGTCCGATACGGCTTAGTTATTTAGATTTATCAAGCAAAATTTAGTTACAGATTAAATATTTTTTCTCCGGTTCTCACTATTTGGTAGGCTGGGTGAAAAAAGACTTTTGCTTCAATTATCATTGGCAGTTCTTTGGAAAAGTTGTAAAAAACAAAAATTATGAAGAATGGAAAAATCGACAACTCAGATTAACGGATTTTTATATTTTAGAGTCGAGCAAGAATAGAAAAGCGATAAAAGCACTGGGACATATAATCAACAAAGGTAAACGTAAAAGAAGTTCTTCTCGGTCGAGTTTTTCACCTGTTAAGAAGCGACAGCGTAGAAAGGAGATCCAAACGAACCTGGTGAGATCGAATAGTGTGAGCAGTTTTTACGATATACATAAAGAGATAAAGCGTAAGTATTATTTGCCCATCATGATAAGATACTAAAGCTATTTTGTCAACTTTTAGAAAAAAAAAGCGGCGTAATTGATTTGAAAAGGTCTGGAAGCATGAGAAGCATTGACGACACAGTAGCTAGCTACAGTAGTACCCCATATTTCAGCACAGTTTTATCCAATTTGCTTAACCAACGGGGTTCCGACCAAGGAGTGATGGTTGATACCACTTTGAAGACCTTCTTGTCTAATAAGCGACTAAACTGTGGAGCCAAAGACGATAATGAATATGTGGCAAATAATATGGACGGTATAACTCCCTAGAACCGACGGTTTGACTGGCACTGATTCTGCCTAATATTTTACTTTAAGATCCACCGATGCAGCACATCTACACTTTGTGGAAACATGCTTCTATGGTGACCTCCAACAAGATGTACGTTACTCAGTTGGAGTTGCTCTATGATGTAATTTCGGCCTGCATTAACATCCACTGGAATTCGTTTGAATCCTTAGTAAAGGTACTGGGTGTTTGCAAGTTTTATCAGTTTCTACTCTAGACTTTGGTGTTTTAGAATCTGGAAGATATCCTAAGAAACATTGAGCATTCCAACAGCATTGACTTGATCTAGATTACAAGGTCGAGTCAATCGAGCTAGAAGTGAATGTTTGTAATATTATGTGCAATATATCATCTATAGGTACATGTAAAGTCTTTCATTTATCGTGTAAGTCTGGACGCAAGAGGGGTTGCAAATGCTCATCTTAATTTGAATACGAACAGAAAAACCTACCATGTAACCTACAGGCACACCAATATGAAATATATCTGTGGTAATGTAACCGGGCATAATTCATTTGAAACACATCCAGCCACTAATCGACAAGTTAATTACAAAAAAATGTGTTCTAAAAAGAATCTATGCGGATCTGCAAGTTAAATTAGACCTAAATTTGAATCGAGCTCTGTTTCCATTCTTGGATGGCAGTAATCACTGTTTCTAAGCTCTGTAAGATCGTACGTGTGCGAGCTAGGAGAGCTTTTATTACTTACATGCATCTGATTACACTTCGTCTAAACAGTGTGTTCAAATTAAGTGTCTTTATTGTGCAGTGATCGATTATGCGCTTGGCTTGTTTGTGATATCGACTAAAATATGCAAAAATTTTCGAAAAGGTATGTATATTAACAAGTAAAATAAGGTCATTAAGATTATGAACGTGACGAGAACTTCAGATAAATGTTATGACCAAGCAGTGAATGCAGTCTGTAACATAATTATTCACGAATAAAATATAAGTAGATTTAAAAAAATTGTAAATCGTTAAGAGGCGTATCAGGCCTTGAAACTATGAGAAAAAAATATTTATGTATTAACATTATTTCGATCGTTTAAGTGGCAAGAAATATACACGGATTTTGCCATTTTATAAGTAGATGTGCACATTGGATAATCGCACATAAAGAGAAATGGGGCTTCTAGATTTTAGCACAAAGTTCCAATATTCTACCCACTACTATCCCCTGAACTAATTTTATAGAAATTTGATTGACTTTGCAACCTTAAAACTAATATTCAAATTATCCCCCAACGAACATTGAATGTGTTTGGAAAGTTTACAAACAACCCACTAATATACATTTAAAATAATAGATGATTCTGTTAATAGTATTATTTTAATCGCATCTACAAGTTTATCGATGTTTTATTTTAATTTAACTGGACATATTTGCTTATAGGGATGTATAATTATTAATAACCTTAATTAATTAAATTGAAAATTACTTCTATTAAAACACTCCACATGCAAGTGTTATTATTTATTTATTTTATCTTACATTACATAAGTTGAAAACCTCATTGGAGACAAACACATAAAAAGTGTAATTTGTTAATTAACTTTTAACAGCAGGATTTTTAACAGATTTTTTCGGAACTTTAATTGTTTTATGAATGTTGGCTTGATAGGTCGATAGATTGCCGAACAAAATCACTATTTTTTCTACATTTTGGCTGTATGTATTTGAGCCAATTTGAGTGTTTTTCTTTCCTATCACCTAAATCTTATACAAATTAGCATCACGTTTCAAATCACCATCAAATGCCGATCAGTTTAATGTTTCATTTGCAAATAATGTAAAATATTATATTTTCAAATGTTCTTCCACTCAATATTTTATATGCTTATATTCAAAAAAATACTGTCAATCTCCAAAAGAGAGCAAACAGGCCTACAGAAAATTTCATGAAAAAATCGAAAAAACAAGTTTACTAACTATAAAGCTGAATAATGGCGTTAGTTATACAGAATATACCCAAAATTAAACTGCATAATTTTCATTTTGTCAAACCTTTTCCTTGAGTGTTTCGTCTCAAAAACGTTGTTTTTTTTAAACACAGAATGCCCTCACCCATTCTATTACATATTGATAAAATTATTTTATAATGAAGAACAAATTCTTTACCTTAGAATCTCGAATATAGAATCTCACCTATAAGGGGGAATTCTATGGCACACTTTGGCTCAAGCTACAAGAGAAACATTCAAAGTTGTAAATAAATAAATTTTGAAAATTTACTTTTACGTTTTGATAAAAAATTTGCTTAATGAAATCCTATTTAAAAAATTGTTTAACAAGACTAAATTATTATTAATTATTTTATTTTAAATTTATTGAATTACTAATATAGCTATTGAAAGATAGGGGTTTATGGCAGCACCCATATCACTTAGGGGTATAAAAAATAGATAACAACTTATTCTCAGACCTACTGAATATACATACAAAATTTCATCAAAATTGGTCAAGCCGTTTCGAAGGAGTATGGTAACTAAAACTGTGACACGAGAATTTTATATATATAGATTATCAATTGCAAAATTTTATATTTTTTATCGGTGGAATAATTGAGCGCACATGTGCACCATTCTAACAAATTTACAATGTTTCTTCTCAAAAAAAAAGAACGTATTTAAATTTATCACTCTTAACATTAGGTGCTTATTCACCCACAAGAAAAATAATTCTTCAAAGTCGCACAGACTAGAAATAATAAATATGTCTGCGGCAAATAATACCAAAACGAGTTTTTTGTTTGTATAGCAAATTTGATTGGTGGAACCTTTCGCCCAAACTCTTCGTACACCCGCATTAATCCTAAAAAAATCGATGTTTTTAGCTAGTCATTGTGCACACTTTCAGTTTATTATGGTTTCATCAGCAGATCACTGTACTTGACGCATTTGTAGTCGAATCGAAATATTTTGATTTTGCAAATTACTAGCATGGAGGAAATTTGGAACACTGATCAACGTGTTCTTTCCGAACTTTCCAAAAAAATCAAACTCAAAAGTGTAGTTTGTCCTAAATCCAATTAGGCAATTAGTAATAATTAAAAGTTATTAAAAGCAAAAGTAATTTCAAACAAACTTTTAAAATAAAAATTTGACTTAAAAATTGTGCACCCACAAAGTATTGGTAGACACTTCGTTTAACTTTAGAATTTTTTATGAAAGTATCACAAGCATGTGGAAATTAACTCTCTGATATTATAATGCACACTGATCTTTTAAAATGGGTTATTTTACGTTTCGAATTACTTCGAATTTTCCGTTCATAACTATCCACCGTTTCTCCTCACTGATCTTCTATTACTTAGAGATATTTAAAAATAATTTTGCGGCAAATTTTTCGAATGTGCGGGATAGTTCAAAAATTGAACTTGGTGTTGTACTATGGCTATCTTCTAAAATAATTGAGTTTTAACTCACGCTCACTCACTCTCATGCTTTGGATCATTGTCCATGTAAAATCCCAACTTGAACTTGCAACAGTAGAACGATTAATGTTGTTCTGTTATTAAAGGAAGAACAAAAAGTTAAAACTTGATCATCTTCATTCATTGATTCATCTTGATTCAGAAACCTTCAATAACTTCTTTTTAGGAATTAGGTATCTTCCTCTGGAAAAAAAATTAAATTTGGTGCTTTTCATTTACCGATGCAAAGCAAGGAGAAGTCCTATTCTTTAGAATTGTGAGTTTGTACTCACAACACCAGATTTCAATCAATATTTGGGCCAAAATCATCGATAGAGTGATTAATTATCCAATTGTTTCCAATGCCGCAATGGGATGATGACAAATGAGTTGATCAGTTCGGACCACTTGTGTGTCTCAATAAACCAAATGGAACCATTTGATTTTTGAGGAATTTTTGCAGTTTGTGATTTTGTGTTTGCATGGATCAAAGACTGCCGATAAACGTCTTTCCCCGCAATCAAAATTAATTATTCTAATTATTTAAGTTTCCAATTTGATGAACCAACAAAAACGAACACATTTCTGGAAACTCAACATCAGTTTATTTCGTTAGTGTCTGTTTTTGGAGCACCCTGTATAAGCCACACTAAATGATACAGACCCAGTTTCTTTATGGAATTCCGCTAAATGACCGAAAGCATTTAACATCGAATGCATTGCAATAATTAAAATTAAACCATTACAAATTATTGAAGCTGTGTGTGACTTAAACGAGATAATTGATGGCATAATTCTATTTAGATGTGCTGTCCAGCCAAGGCGACTATATCGTGCATACACTTAGAGCTTAAACTTACGTCACGTAATTAACATGTTCCTAATAAAACAGTTAATGGATTAACCAACACAGAGAAGCATAATTTATGGCATTTTCATTTCATCATTTGCCGAGCCATTATTTCATCCCGCTGAAAGTGATTTGATTGCCAACATCAATTTCACAAAGAATCTTCAAATTGTTTAAACTAACTGTTATCTAATTGGTTTCAGCTGGATCCACATAATACAGTTGCTTTCCTTTTGTATTCTAGGAGTAAAATGTCGTAAGTGGTGGCAGTTGCAAACAAGAATTTTCTAATTATTACTCAATCACTTTTACAGAACTGAATCTCTTAGAGGCAGAAGCTGAGGGTCCATGTGCAAATTTCAGAATAGGCGATGATGATCTGCAAGCTTACGACTTTATTAGGCAATTTAAACTGGATTTGTTAGGATCCCAATCTTCAGGAGTGAGCAAAGTGGTTGGTTCTAGTTCACTACAAACTGCTTATCGGTTCCAACGATATGCAGATGTTACCGTACCCACAAGGTAACGATATTTTCTTTCTTTCTATTATCTTGCCATTTTATAATGATAGTTTAAATGCATAGTTTAAATATTTCCTAACTCTTGACTGGGAATATTTTCTCAATCGTCGGTACGATTTAAATATATTGTATAGGGTGTTAAACTAATGTCATATTTTCTTGGTCAAAGTTTAAACCTTTCTGCGTGCGCTATTGGGTAGCCCAGAGAGAAAAAGTATACGATGTTAATATATCGTATCTTTTGAGTAATTTGGATCTTGACTAGTCTGGTTATCATGAAACATTCGAGAGATATTGAATTTTTATGACCGGTCACATTTTACACGCGACATTTGCTTAAACTTTTTTATTATTTGCTCAGAAAACATCTGGTAAAAAATATGTAGATCAACATTTCATTGCAAGTTTACATATGTAACAAAATAAGCAGAACTTGACAGAACTTACCTTGTAATAATTATTAAAAGAAAAACTGAGGAAATATTCACAGTCAAAAGTCATGGAATATTTAAGTTGTACGTTAAATTTGCGGCGCATTTTATGTCTCCTTGTAAGATCCTTAAAATAAGGTTGCTTTATCAAGCTAGATAGAACAGAAAGTTCAAATATTGTAGTAATTTTTTGTTTAGTTTTTACTACAATTCTCACTACAATTTATTGTAGTAAGTAAGTTTCCTCTTCTAATTCAACTACCTACGACTCTGTCGTAAAGCATTAGCCGATAGTGGGGAGTTTTTCGGGTATTTTTTCTTAACCACCCTGTATTTCTGGACCACGTCATCGCTCATCACGATTCAAGCATTGAAAAATATTTTTTTATCGGGATTTATTAAATACAGTTAAATTAATTAAATAAGTTAAATTCATCTGTTAGATAAAGCTTAAATATTTCAACCGAACTCCAGTAGACAGCATTCAATCTGAAGTGTCTATCATATCACGACTACATTTGTGGTTAGTTTTTAAATTGTGCTCTTCAAACAAGTATTGCGTTCGTACCATGTGGTCCACCAACCATCCTTGTAGTTTTTGCGAATATTTAAGCAGGTCGAATTTTGACATTTATTTCCCCACAAACTAGCGAAGTGAGTCGCTTTTGTACCATATTTGTAGCGCAAAATCTCTTCTATAAGTGAAAAAGTTTCGATTATAAATCATCTTCAGGAAATTTCCAGGAATTTTCTAAATATTATCTGTATTTTGGTATTGTTTATAAAGGCCGGAGGTTAATAGTTATTTCTTCAAAACCCGGTCGAACTAGAGTGGCTTTTGTACGGAACTTGTTGAACATTGCCTGTTTTATAAATAGTAAAAGTTTCGCCTTTGAGCCATCATCAGTTTATTTGCAAAATGTTTTCAAATTTGCGACAGAATTTTATGATTGTCCATCCAGGTCTAAATTTGGCATTTATTTTCTCAGAAACAAGTAATATTGGAAAAAGTGCGTTATATTTGCGGAAAAAGTTTCCATTTTCATTCAACGTAAGGCCTTATTTTAGCGATTTGTACCTAATATCCGGGGGGAATTTGCGGTCATTTATGCAAATCTAAGTTGGGCATTAATTTTTTCAATGTGCAAAAAAGTTGGAGGGCGTAATAAAACCAAACAAATATTAACAGTTAACTCAATTAATTCCTATTCTTAAATAAAGTAATTGTAAAAAATTTGGATAGAACAAAAAAGTTTTCGCCCAACGTGGGGCTCGAACCCACGACCCTGAGATTAAGAGTCTCATGCTCTACCGACTGAGCTAGCCGGGCTTGAATTTTACAATATTATTTGCTCGTGAAGTACACTGTGAATTATACTTTCTTTTAGGAACATTTTTCCTTTTGGATTACCAGAACAATTCTCATTTATTTCGACATACCGAGCCAGTAGAATCACACGCACAGCTTGGCACATGATAAGACTTACGAATTTACAGCACAGACCCCAGTTCTTTGTGGCTCTAAACCCGAGACAGCAAAGCATTGATTTTGCAATCTCAAACTATGAAGGCCAATTGCAAACTTTGAGATTTAACAACGCTAAGGTCAGTAATTGTTCTGTTGGTATTGTAATACACTCATTGTTTGAAATTCATGCACTGAAAATCTACTTTCACTGGTCCTGTGGCGCAACGGATAACGCGTCTGACTACGGATCAGAAGATTCCAGGTTCGAATCCTGGCAGGATCGCAAAACTTTTGCCAACATTTTCAAAATTAATTTTAAGCTTTAATTGATTTATTTTGCTAATTGTATTGTTTGATTTGTAGGTTTTCGACACAAACTGGCACAAGATACATTTTGGAGTTTTCAGAGATCGAGTTCGATTATTTGTCGATTGTAAGGATATGCAGGAAAAACCGATGCAACTTCGTGGACCGATGGATATTAATGGAAACATATCCATTGCAAAATTTGCTAATTCGAGGGAATCAGTTCCGGCAAGTTACACACACAATAGCAATACAAAAGCCAAACGCATCTATTCCCTATGCCTTCCATAACACGCTCATGAAATTAATAATATTCGATTGCAGTAAAACTCTCTGAAGATTACACAGACTAATGTATGAATTAATTCAATTTTCAGATCGATTTGCAATGGATGTTGATGAGTTGCGATCCCACAAGACCTCAACGTGAACTCTGCCAGGAAATACCCAAGGTAATCGAACTTACCTATACGCAAACTATTTGCTTTCTTTTGCTAAAAGGCGAAATTCTCAAGCTCAAGTTCCCGACGCAATCAAACCGAATTTAAAACCAGTAATTTAACATAATTTCTAATTAATTAGATTGATGAGTTTAAAGAAGTTCCCCCAGTATACATTCCTGCACCACCAGCGGCTCCAATATCGCCCAGACCCTCCTGCGAAGTTGTTTGCCCAAGAGGACTACCTGGTTACAACGGGACTGATGTATGTAATTCCAAGAGGATCGTAGATATTTCAAGCAAATGTTTAAAAAGCCAAAAAGTTCATTAAAAGCGTTTGTTATCAAGGGACTTCCGGGAGATAGAGGAAACCAGGGATTTCCAGGGTTACCGGGACCGCCAGGACCTCGAGGTGAAAGAGGAGAATTCGGACGACCTGGATATGCAGTAGGTTCCGCGAGAAAAAATCAATAATCCACCTAACGCAATAATTGACTATTTAAACTGCTAGCATTTATTTACACGCTTCTGCTAACACCCCATAGTATAGAGTGAACTGAAGGAGCAAAGAATATGGCCACATTGAAGGGATCAGCCACATTGAAATACATTTAATGTCCATGAACTGTACAGTTGCACATTTAACATCAATAAAACACTAATCATTATAGGGAATACCTGGAGTTCGAGGCACCACTGGGACAGTTGGTAAAAGAGGAAAGCAGGGAGAGAAGGGCCCAAGAGGACTTCCAGGCCCACGAGTAGGTTAAAGCATCAATTAATTATATTTCTTAATTACGTGCTCCTTCCCAGTGCAAATATCTCAGGCAGCACAAAACCTTATAATCACGGTGTCGATAACTCGATTAAATATTTTCAACTCGATATATAAATATATCTAAAAACATTCAGAAAAGGGCAGAAAGACCGATTGGGTCGACAGCCTTTTTGTGTAGGAAATAAAGGTTATTTGTATTTGTATTTATACATATATTCAGAAAAAATGCCGGAAGAATGGAGAAAATTACACAGCTAACTGCGGAGACTTCGACTTCAGATATACATGTGGACATAGCTAAATAAATACACTAACATGTATATAAAATGTATTAATATTGGATTTGATTTATTGTCTTTTGCTATTTCATACCCAAGAGCCTTACTCCAATACCTTCCATGTGTAGGGAACCCCTGGCCTTCAAGGTCTTCCAGGCATAAGGGGACTCGCCGGCAATCCCGGTCCGGAAGGGCGTCCAGGAATCAATGGAACACCGGGATCAAAAGGCAACAAGGTAAACTAATATGCAAAGACAATTTTGTCTTTGTCTTGATTCTGAATTCAACGATGTTAATATTAACTCATTGTATATACTTTCCTGACTGTGTTTCAATTGAATTCAAATTCAATTCAATCATTTATTGTCTATTTATCAGTTATGACTGAAACCCAGGAATTAATTTTGATTTGGAGTTAATATTAACATGCATACAGGGGGAATCCGGATTAGCCGGTCCAAAAGGAGATCGAGGCTTAGATGGCTTTTCCGGAAGACCCGGAGATCGTGGGCCTGAAGGCCCGCCAGGTCCTCCCGGCTTAGCTGCCCCTGCACGAGAAGAAACTTTAATTGAAGGCCCACCTGGACCTGTAGGTCCCAGAGGAATGCCCGTAAGGTCTCAAGCAAGTGAAAGTATTAACTAACCAATATCCCGGAGGTCATTTAGGGATTACCAGGCGAAGAGGGACAGGTAGGACCGAGAGGATTTCCCGGTGCACCTGGAAAAGACGGCAATGAGGGGCAAGTGGGCCCAATAGGTTTCAAAGGAAACAAAGGAGAGCAAGGAAGTCCTGGAGTGGCAGGCATGCCAGGCCTAACGGTACTGATTACTCCCCAGTTATTTGTTTAGAAAGGATTTAATGCGCAAAAACTAGGGGCCTCCGGGTCCCCCAGGATTGACCACAGGTAGCGAAATCGGGCAGGTAATCGCCGGCCCGCCCGGTCCAAGAGGCGAGCATGGGTTTCCAGGTGCGCCTGGACCAAAAGGAAACCAAGGGGATAGAGGCGAGCCTGGTGCAAAGGGCGAAATTGGATCAATCGGATATCCTGGTGTACCTGGCCTGGACGGCGTTCGAGGTCCACCAGGAAAAGAAGGCTTACCCGGCCTGGAAGGCCCGAAAGGTCTACCAGGTTTCATCGGACCTCCTGGAGCACCTGGGCCGATTGGCAACCCTGGAGCTTCAGTACGTTAGATCGTTCTTCGAAACTCAATGAAAACTTCAAAGACTATTCGAATTGTAGGGTCCAGCAGGTTCGCCTGGCCCTCAGGGGGCTCATGGGATGAAAGGAGACGCTGGTGAACCAGGCAGGCCAGGACTACCAGGTAGGTAAATCAAATTGATCATAAATCGGTAGCCCTCATCAAATTAAGTAGAGGAAAGCGGTGTGGATTCAAGCGTGTAGCGAATACTGCGTTCTATTCTAGGGTGTCTCAATAAAGCTTTTTCGGACGTCCCAGTTTTCTATTTTTGTAGTTCCATTCCTAGTTGTACTTCAGGATGTTTTATACTTCCGTTTGAAATGACTTCCGTTTTTGTGGGTTTTTGACCCCTAGCATTATTTAATATAGCAATTGCTCTCCTTCTTTGACTGTTCTTTCTTTGTGCAATATGACCCAACTTGTGAAATTTTTGTGTTTAATATTTGATTAGTCTCCAGTGTTAAATCGTGCTGTTCGATTCGATTGCACATATATTCTGTTCTAAACTCAATTTTATGCATTCCTCGATTACCTTTCCAGTCATGTAGTTCAGATCTTCTTAGTCTTGTGCAATAAATACTTGATCGTCCGCAAAGAACAAAGTCTAGAATTTGTGCAGTTTTTTCCTTTCGATAAGAGCCGATTGAAAAGTCGGAGATCTTTTGGAGAAGTTCGGTCACACGTAATTTTAATTGCTTGCTTTACTTTAATAAACTAATGACTATGCTAACCATTTACGTAGAAAAAATATGATCAAGCAGTTGGTTTCTCTTTTACAAGTAAAAGCTAACTGTACAAATGGTTTTTTTCGTGCTCAGGCCTATCTGCAAGTGAGGGCGATAGAGGATTACCAGGAGCACCTGGACTAACTGGCCCACAAGGACAATCAGGTGAAAAAGGAGAACGCGGATTTTCAGGTTTACCCGGACCACCAGGTTTGAGTGGAATACAAGGCCCACCCGGACCAGAGGGAATTAGAGGTCCCCCTGGAAAGCAGGTCAGCGAACTGAAAATAACAATATAAAAATCACAATCGCCAGTCCTAATAAGCAACAATCAGATTTAAGGGAGTTTTCTTTTAAAACATATAATGCTTGTTTAAGGGTTCTGTGGGACCGAAAGGAGAATCTGGTGCTAGGGGATACTCTGGTGCTCCGGGTAATCCGGGAATGGATGGAAAACCTGGCACTTCCGGAATTCAGGGGTATAAAGGTGAACGTGGACAGGAAGGTCAACAAGGACCCATTGGACCAAGAGGATATACTGGGAATCAAGTAAGAACCAAAAAAAAAACGACCAATGGTATATCTTTTGTAATTTTAGGGCAACTCAGGTCTTCCAGGGCCACAAGGACTGCCAGGTTTGCCTGGTCCTGAAGGGAAGCCTGGACCTGCCGGTCCTGCGGGACCTCCGGGTCTTGCCGGACAAGTTTCCACTTTAGTTGAAGGAGGTTATTATGCAGGAGTTCATGGCCCTAGAGGAGTGCCAGGGGTACCGGGAATTGTAAATTTTTACAAAACCGCAAAAATCAAAATTCTACACTCTTTTGCTGTTTCAGCCGGGAGAAAGAGGCGCAGCAGGAGATCGAGGACCAGAAGGACCTAGCGGTCAACCGGGAATGCCAGGGAAAGACGGATCTCCAGGTTTTCCAGGCTCACCTGGACAGAGAGGGCAACCAGGGCTTCCAGGAATCGAAGGGCAACCTGTAAGTATTTTACAAGTGCTCATTTGAGAATCTTCTCCAAATATTACTATAAAAGAATGAATCTGAAAACCAACAAATTCAACGCTAATCATTGAAAATGGTTCACATTTTGCAAGTTAGTAACTTCTCGACTTATGTTAGATGCATAATAACAACTGAGAAAATAGAAAAGTAGTTTAATCAAAATAATCAATGTACAAAACAGTCTCCTAAAACGCCTCTCCCGAACCGCGCAAGATATTTAACGGCTCAAATAATTAGGAAAAATTGCAAAATTATTGAAGTTTTAAATATTGGAAACATCCCCTTAAATAAGTTTCGGTACTAAAATACAATCACTTTACACACTAGCTTATACTAAATAAAAACTAAAAAAACATTTTGGTATTGGCCTAGAACGCCATAAATCGACTTTAATTGTTACTCATGTTTATTAGAATAAGTTCACAAATAAAACGTGTAAATGCTACATTGTATACATTAAACAATAAACATACAAATTGTCTTACGGTTACTGTTACTTTCTAACCACAGTGTTTAAACCAGGACTGGCAGTTAATTTTCTTAAAAGTGGCCCGTTCAACTTATAGTTAAGGCTAATCTTAGAATATTTAGGTTGGGCATATTTTTCTGGAATTTTTTGAAAAGCTGCATTTTCTGCTTTAGTAAGGATTTGAGCGAGTTGATATATTACATTTTTCAAGTCTGAATACTTGTATTTGGTGTGGTAAGCCAAAGCTGGTTTCCAAACCTTGCTGGGTTCGCTTACTTCATTCATAACAGCTATAGACAAACAACATGCTGCTGCAGCTTGGAGAGACGGCTTTACCTGTACCATATCATATTCCAGCAATGAAAGTTCCAGAATATATTTCGCAAGGGTATGTTGTTCGGGTTTTACTACCGCGAGTTTGCTGTATCTTCTCAAGAAATATACAGAAAGTGGCCATCCCATTCTAAAATCCAACTTCTGCACAATATCAATTTCCATCTGCAGAAGTTGCTTTTTTGTAAAGGCATTATCACAGATGTAAACAAAGTCATCCAACTCAGGAACATAGATTTCTTCATACTTGCATGCTAATAGTAATGATGCCGTTCCAACTAACTGATAAATGCTCTTGGTGATTGTTTTATTAACCTGAAGATAAAATTATTTCTATGTTTTTGTGATCAAATACCCGGACATCTTCCACCAAAAGTATAGTACATGGTGAGAAAATCAGACTAATTGCAGATAAGTCATACGTAAAAATGCAATGGGTTACATGTTCTATATCGAAAATACTACTTACTTGTAAATATCGATCGACTAATGATACACATAAATGAAGTGTATCAAGTTCCAAGTTGAAGTTCTGGTGAACATCTACTAGCCAGTTTACCAACGTCGAGCGCATTTTCGAAGTAATTTTGGTACTGTCTAACAATTTTTCTTTCAACGGAAATTTAACTTCTAGCTGCCGAAGGTATTCTAAAATATCTTCGACATATTCTGTGACCATTTGTGGATCGTCTCTTGAATTTTGGTCTGGATCGGGATATTTAAGGGAAGATTTTCGTACTTCTGGAGCAGTAATTAAAGCCGCAGCTTCTGCTTTATTTTTGGCTTCTTCAAGAATTTTTTTCGACAATACGACACTTTCTTGTCTAACTGTTTTCGCGCCAGCATTCTCCTTACAGCTTTTCAAATTCCGTGCCTGACCAAGGAGAATTCATTCGGTATATTAATAAAATCCGCATAAAGTTTGAACATCTTGTAATCACCTTAGTAACTACTGCTGGTTTAGCTGCTTGTGCTTTTCCAGCTACAACGGCGTTAAGGCAACCAGCGTTAATTTTATTCCCAACTTCACCAAGGGCACCTCGTCTAACTGGCTGAACTGGACGTTCAGAAACTAAACCCTGCTTTATCAATAGTCTGGAGGCGGCATTTTCTTGGCCCCTCACTCCGCTCACGATAGGTGGACGGGAACCCATTATATCTGGAAGTCGAAAATTTTAATTCACGGGACGATTCACCATGGTCAAGAAAAATGAAGTTAAGTTTATAATTTAACGCTGAATTTTCATTTTTTTCAAATTTTTAGTTCATCACTGCTTGTAGTTTTTGGCTATTCAGTTCCACTTCAGCTCGATTTAAAATGAAGATTCCCCCCAAAGATTTACATCATTCGGGTGCCAAATAACTGTACGAATCTAAAGAGTGATACTTTCTAGATGTAAAAAATTTTCTTACTGTTGAACTTAGCTGCGCCGATAGATTTTCAAACTGAGTCAAATGTTCGTTTTTTGAAGCTTTGTTGGGTCTTGTGGATTATTCGTATTTCGATTATTTAGGTTCGCTGTTCATTCAAATATTTAAAGTAGCGGATGTGATGAAACGTTATTTAATTCAATATCAAGGAAAAAATACCCCTACAAAATTATAACTTTTATGTATAAAATAACAAAGGATTTTAGAATAAAACACCAGATCCATGCCGAAACTGAAATGAAGTTGGTGAAACCCATATTTATCTAACAATAGCCAAATTTCTTACCTTTAACCGAATTAATTCTTAAGTAAGACAAGAAAAATTAACAGTTTTTAGCAAAGTAAGAAAAGCCAAATTACAACTTTACTTTGTATTAAAGAATATACTCAATCTTTTATTGAAAAATGCAATGAGACCTTTGAAAACTTGAAGAAAACTTTCCGAACATGTGGTGATCAACCCACTAGGCGTATTTCAAAGCGTGAATTGATTGTTTTGAGAATAATTTTGAAAAAAACAATAAATATTTAGATATCCCTTTTGTAATCTTTCATATTTAACATAAAATGATAAACATCATTACTGCTTTGTAATAATATATAATAAATATGTTTTTAATTTAATTGATAAAATATTTGAGTTTACCTCGGTTATTTCAGAAAACATGGGTTCCGTCTTCTTATTTTCACGCAACGCATTCTCGATTTTAAGCCGATACAAATTTCTCTTCAGCTTATAGTTGCAAAATATGTAAAACGAATTTATTAGGGCTTATTTTCAATGCCACCAAAACTACGAACTAGTGCTCAACGTCAAAGATTCTACAAAGCAAATAAGAAATTATGACTAAAAAATACAGAAACTCATGAAGAAGAGTTACACAAACCCAAGAAGAGCAATATGTACAACCTCTCGTTGAAGAATGTTAAATGTTGCAAATAAAAAAGATATTTTACATTCAAAAGGAAATTAAATTACATTTTACCTATTCCTGATCCATTTATAAATCATTAGACTAACAAGAATATTAAAATTATAAAATAAAATTATTATTGCCATCATGCGTTAAACAAGTTCAATATTTTATGGTTTCTATAAATATATGAAGTTATCACTTATGTCGAGCGTCCCGTGACGCACACCATTTTTTTTTATTGAATAGTTTTTTTCTTGTTTGTTCAAAAATTGCATTTTTAGTAAAGTATTATGCTGAAAGATATAACAGCTCAGAAATGTAAAATAAAAACGAACAATTAAGATGTGATCACAGATGTGATATACAAGTGGGGATTTTAATGGTGAGGTATCGTCGATTCACTCAATACGGGCAATTTTTCCTTGAAAACCAGTAGCTTTATAGATATTTTAACGAAACGGATGTAAGGGTAGATGATGAATCACATAGGTTTGTGTAACAGGCAGTATTGTGTTATTTAACTAGAACTTCATTTCAATTTATAATTTGTAACTTTGCAACGATCAAAACCAAATAAAAAACGCTACCTATACATGGAAGGAGTTGTACCTATAACAGTAGTATGATTTGTATCATAATAGTCTCAGACAATGTATAAACTAAATAATTCTTTAAGGGTGATTAAGAAATCACACGGCTTCAGAAACGTTTTGCCTAAATCTATACAGAAACTGATGTGTGGATTTTGAAAGTTGATATTGAAATTCCTTAGAACTTAGAATAGATTTTACAAAACCTAATTAGCAATATGTTTCGCAAAAGCTTGTTCATGGAGGTAGGTATATGCGTCTATTAATGATACATGTTGGCGTAATAGTCCAACTTACAGAGTAGATTTTGGAAAAGTATTAAGGCCAATATGAAGGAAAAATTGTTGGCAGTAAGATTAAATCACTACCTCAAGCTCTTAAAAAGTAAGCAAACTAAATACCTTCCTTTTCGTAAATATTAGACTAATTCCAATAGTTTGTAGGTGTGTATAGGTCTATTAAATTCTCGTGAGATTGGCAGCTATTCCACCAAACTGAGTAAAAGCTATCGTCAAAACATGTATAGATTATAATAAAAAAACCAAGCTTGCTTTTTCAATATAGAATTCTCCCGTTTGATTTGAAACAAGCAAAATCGAGCAACCAATATAAGTACAAACTAAACAAGAATGTTACACAAACAGAATTCACTTACCTGGTACAAAATATCAATAAAAATACAGTAAAAATTCACTAAAAATATCCACTTTTAATATGACAACAGTCAAACTTGAATCGTGGACCAGTACACAAGACCAGTAAAGGCGGTTATTTCAACTGATTTCTGACGGCTGGTTCCATTTAGCAGGTTTCAATGAGAGTAAACAAGATAGAACATAATGCCTGCCAACTGGTTTCATTGACAATTTGCTCGACAGATCAATGGAGGGAAATTTAAATTTTACAATACACTGCTCCCATGTATTAACGCCATTTAGCAAACTGTATTTAGCAGCGTTTCTACTATTTTCATTGTAAATTTTATATTCCTCTTTCAATATTGCGCCTAGTCGTTAAAGAAACAAATATATCATTGTTCAAAGGCGGGAAATGAGAAATAAAAACAGTAAAATGAATAATTAACACATGTTCCAAAAAGGGAAGTTCTGAAAAATGATTTTTTGTGTTGTGTTTTTCCATTGCTGGACTCTATAAATCTATGAGCCTGCTTTAAAAGATTATACATAGCAAAAAGTAACTTTTGTGTCTTGTTTTCTTGTGACTGTATCATACAGGGTGTTAAAAATACGAGCACTAATGCGTACAATCTGGTTAGGGACTGGGAACTCAAATAAAAAAAAATGTTTGAAAGGCAGGGATCTTATAGCTTAATATTTATCATATTAAAAATTATTAAATTCTTCCAAGTACTTTGAAGTTATTTTATAAAAATCTATTTTTAGTGACCTTTTTTAAGAACATATATCTTGTTAAGGATTGACCACAGAAATTTTTTTATGTAGACTTTTTGTATTATAGAATCAAACAGTTTATATTTTTGACACCCTGTATCTGGCAGCATTCTTACATTTTTGAGGACACCCTGTATGTACATATACTGGGTGATTGCTGGCATTATTTTAAGATCATTCAATTTTAAGATAACATTCTAGTAAACGAGGATTCTTTCGAGCATCGTTGCGAAATAGATAACAACGAAACAAAACTTTATTATTGACACTTTTTTTTTAAATTCAATATTCTTTACGGAAAAAATTGTGCGGCAATGATTTATTAAAAAACCTTGAAAAAGTCTACGATTTTATTGAGCTTTTAATTCTACACAAAAACATATCTAGACTTTTCTTCGCACAGAGCATAATTATTTTTTAATACAATTTTTTTTATCAGACTGTGAAACAATTTTTTTATCGGATCAGTGCACGTCTGTTTAAAATGTGCATTAATATCAAACTAACAAATTATTGACTGATTTTAATTAGCAGATACTCATTAGTAGCCATATTCTTAATTTGCATTAATTTCAATATTGAATTAAAGTATGTAACTGTTGATGTGCGATGACTAGGACGTGCATAAATACGATTTAAATTTTTTTAATCAAAATCTTTACATCGTACTAAATATATCTCGTAAGAGAAATATTTTGTTCAAAATTACGTAATAAACCCAAAAGATTAATTATTTCTTAAAACCTTCAGTTATTAGAATGATTTATTAAAAAATATTGCCAACAATCAGCGCCTAAAATTCGTCAAATTGCGTTTGAATTTGCCTGCATAAAAAATTTAACTGTACATTTTCTTGTTTAGTATTGAAACAATATCGAAAATATTTCTTTTTAATCAAACATGTTTCTTGTTTAGGGCAGGAGTTACGCCGAATCGGAAATTCGTGATATTTGCGCTGCCGTTCTAAGAGGTAATAAGCGAAACGTTATTTAACTCTCCAAACTAATCAGTTCGAGTATTTAGATCAACTAGCCGAATTATCAGCTGCACTTATTGGTCCTCCTGGTCATCCAGGCATATCCAAACCTGGCAGGCCTGGACCACCGGGCATTCCTGGGCCACAAGGTAGTTATTGATTAATTTTCGAAATGATTTCGGATTGGAATTTGCTCTCTTTCTAGGAATCCCCGGTCAATCAGGATTACCTGGCGATAGAGGATTTATGGGTCTGCCTGGAGCGGCTGGACCTCCCGGATCGATAGGCATGCCTGGTGAGAAGGGTGAAAAGGGAGATAGAGGAGAAGAAGGCGTCGGAATTGAGGGTCCATCAGGACCGAGAGGTCCTGAAGGTAAATATTAAACCCATCGATCTGCACTTGTTATATGACCAAATATACATGTCAGGTCCTCCCGGAAGTCCAGGAGAAGGAATCGCGGGAAGAGCTGGTGAAAGAGGTGAACCAGGCCGAGCAGGTAGGTTTACATGAATAATTATTGCCGAGTTATCAAAACCTAATGGACCAACTTACTCCAGGAGCTCCAGGTGCGCAAGGATTGCCCGGTCCTCAAGGACCTCCAGGATATTGCGAGTTTTGCAATAACTACGCTCAAAACTATCAGCAAATGTATGCTGCATATGTGGCCGCAAGGAATGGCGGCAATAACAAAGGCCCTTGAATATATGGCTGATATTTAATTAAATGCTTTGATACCTCAGTTTGTCATTTAGAAACCCTGTAACAATACAATGAATTTATTTATGATTTTGAAGCAGTGTTAATTACGACATTGCAGCAAAACAACACGTTGCGGTACCGTAATTCGAGGTATAGTAATAAATGATGAGAATGGACATATGGTCACTGTCTATTAATTGTTGGAAGTACTCAAAGATTACGGAACTTAAATGGTGATTAGTAAACGTTAATAAAAAATAAATTAGCCTCATACTTAGCTGGAAAGGAAATCTGTAAAAGATTTTCATTCGTAGCAATAACCACAATTTTAATAATAAAAAATTACAAAGAAGCATAAATGTATTGATTATTTCTTCGTTTACTGTGCATTATCTGGTGCATTTGAACTTGGCTTCGTCAAGCAGTGTATTTCAATGTTTGTTGTTTTGTCGTGTCCCATTTTAGATTAAAATTAACAATATTCTCCTGGTGTGTCTTAAAATAATTTATTATCAAAAAAGGGAAGTTAAACTGCGCTTTTTGTGAAACAAATACATATTTTCAGTAAAAAATCGGTCTTAAAGTTTTAAAAAATGAGGTTAAATAATTGATAGAACGAGGCGACCCATCAATGCCAAACTAGGCCACAGATAAGAGCGGGTAAGAGATATGAGAAAAAGAATAGTAACTATTAAAGCCTGTGTCCCATCCATCCGTTTATACGATGGTACGATGATACGAAAGTGTTTCTATTCATGATACAATGAATACAAGGTAGGATCTTGCGTCGAGTTGCGTGACGTCAGTGGAAATCACTGCTGGGCGTGCTTTTTTCCCGTCTGCTAAAGGTGATTAAATATAGCTTATTTAGTCTTTGTCACATTTAATTATTTTTTTATAAATCTTCCTTATAATTACAAGATGCTTTGCAGCAGATTTTAGACTT